TAACTAACAGATCTAGAGTGTGCCCTCTGCTGTGGGTGGGGCCACTCACATGCTGAGTGAGACCAAAGGATTCAAGTACAGAACTCAGCTCATTTGCATTTCTGTCATTAACATTATCCACATGAATATTAAAATCACCTGTAATAACCAAACTATCAAACTCTGTGCATACATCTGAAAGCAACTCGGTAAAATTATCAATAAAACTGTGACATGGCTGCGGTGGCTTGTATAGGACAATGAAGAGTAATGGAGGAGATTGTTTTTGTTGTACTTTAAAAGACACATATTCAAATGATGAAAACTTCCCAAGAGACATTCTATGGGAGACAAAGTGGGCTCTGAAAATGGCAGCTAAGCCTCCTCCTTTTTTGTTTTCCCGTATTTCCGATTCAAATTTGAAATTTGGTGGTGATGCTTCTATTAAAACTGCATTTCCTGAATTTTGGTCAAGCCATGTTTCAGCCATGAACATAAGATCAAGATTATGAGAACAAATAAAATTATTGATTAAAAAAGACTTGTTACAAAGAGATCTGACATTAAGCGTTGCAAGTTTCAAAGTTTCATCATCAGCGGTTGTGGTCGGCTGATTCTTACACGGAACAAGAATTAGATTTTCCAGATTAGACTGATTAACTCCAGGTGGCTTCATGACAGGGCCCCAGCCGGGTCTCTCCTCTAACTAGACTGCCAGTGGCTGCGAAGCAGAGACCCTGTGCATCCTAGTGTTTAGAGATAAGAGAGGAAGGGGAAGGCGGGGGAGGCGTATGGAGAGGTGGATGGCTTTTGGGTGTTGAACGAGGGGGGCAGGGAGGTGCAGGGATTTTTGGTGATGGGTTAGGGGTGGGATGGGCTGAGGCAGAGGTTTTGGGTGTTGAACGAGGGGGAAGTGGGGGTGGAATGGTCATGAGGTTAGGGGAGGGACTGGCTGAGGTGGTTTTTGTAGGTGAATTGGAAACCTTGGTGGTTTTGGAGATACATATGGGGAGTGGTTTTGCATGTTGGACAGGACTCTAGATCTAGCTAATATGCGTGTGAGAGGAATAGTCTTCATCGCCGATTTTATTAGCCCTGCAGAGTGTTCAGGTAGGTCTAACAGTGAAGGCGGGGATGAAAAACAAAGGGACGTGTCCCCATTCTCTCTTGATGGAGTGGACGTGGCAGGGGGGACTCAAGACAGGTCCATGGGAGGTGGCGAGGGAGTCTTTGATGGAGGGGCAGGTGGTTGAGGAAACCCCAGCACAGGCCTGTCTGCTGTAGCCTGGGGTGAGGATGGGGGCTTCAGAGGCGCTGTAGATGAAGAAGGCGTGACTGCTTCGGAGCAGGCTGGGGATGAGGATGTTGGTGGTTGTGGTCGTGCTGCTGGTGCTGCTACTGGTGATGATGCAGCTGCTTCTGATGACAGTGGAGGTGTTGAGATCCTTCGAGGTGGTGGTGGTGTTGAGATCCTTCGAGGTGGTGCTGGTGTTGAGATCCTTCGAGGTGGTGGAGGTGCAGAGACTTTTGGAGTCGGCTTCCTCCCTTTCGAAGGCTGCAGGCGCTGCGCAAGCTGAGGTCTCAGGGCAAAAGAAAGGTTATCCATCAACACTTTTACTCCGTAAGTGTTCAAATGTGGCCTTTTCCCTTCAAAAAGCTCGTGCCTATTCCAGAACAGATTAAAATTCTCAATGAAGGCAAGTCCTCTGCGTGAACATTCGTTGAGGAGGAAAGTATTTCGCTGATACAGACGACTGAATTTCATTTGCTTCCCGTCCACATTTGGTAGTGGTCCACTGATAACAATTGTTACGTCCTTTTTTGCAAGGTCGTCCAATAAGAGAGAATAATCCCGTTTCAACTTTTCACTTGTGTTCTCATAGACGTCTACTGCCCCCACGTGGATCAACAATCTTTTTACCCCGCCGGTCTCAGACAGCAGCTTTGGAGCCGAACTGCTGATTCATCTTCCAAAAGTGGTGAATAGCGGTTCCTTGTAATTAAAGATTTTTGCTGTGGCATTATGACACTCTTGTTATCATTAGCTTTGCCTTGTTTGGGCTTGGCACCATATGTGTTCCAGCCATTGTCTCTGTTGATTTTGGGATATGAAATAGCGTCATCATAACTTACGTTCTGTCCATTTGGTCCATTTCCCTTCACTGGTATTGTTGTGTTCAGCCCCAATTCTGATTCAAGCACAAACATTCGGTCTTGAAGAAGTTTTAGCTCCCGTTTGAGTGAAAAACAGCCGTCGCAAAGTTATGTTCTTTTTTTCCGTCCTCCCGACATGCTGTAAGTTAGTATGTAATTTAGATGTATGTAAAGTGTTTAAAAATTTAAAATGTATACTGTTTGCTGATGACACAAGCCTGTACTGCTCTGGGCCAGATCTCAAGAAACTCATTCCAACAGTCGAGAATGAACTTGTTATTCTGAAACAGTGGTTACAAACAAATTATCCATAAATTTGTGTAAAACTGAATACATAATCTTTGGAAACAGCAATATTGACACACCATGCCACATACAAATATCTGATGTGGAAATTGAAAGGGTGTATTCTACTAAATTCTTGGGAGTCAACATAGATAATGAATTAAATTGGAAGCTGCACATAAACATACCAAAAACAAAACTCTCAAAAAGTATAGGTATGTTAAACAAAATACAAAACTCTGTAAATCATGATGCACTTAATATGTTATATAATTCCTTCATACTGCCATATCTCAATTATTGTATTGAAATATGGGGTAATAATTATAAATCTAACACCAACTCAATTTTCACACTCCAAAAGAAAGCCATCAGAATCGTACATTATGCTGATTATTATGCACACACTAATTCCTTGTTTATTAAATCTAAAACACTAAAGTTTTACGATCTTGTTGATCTAAACACTGCAATTGTAATGTATAAGGCCCATAATCACATGCTGCCTCAGCGTATCCAAGACCGGTTCAAATCCAGGGAGAGTACATACCATCTCAGAGGCTCCAAAGTTTTCCAAAAACCAAATGTAAGAACTAATATTAAGGGTCACTGTATATCTGTGAGGGGGGTTCAGCTTCATAATTATTCATAATTAATAATATGTAGATATGTATATACACATACGTACATATCTACATATTATTAATTATGAATAATTATGAAGCTGAACCCCCTCACAGATATACAGTGTATCTATGTATATGTACATGTACATGTGGGTATATGTATGTCTGTGTGTATATATGTGTGTGTATGTATATATACATATGTGTATGAATGAATGTGTATTATATTAATGTACGTATGTGTATTATGTGTATATCAAGGTATGTATGTGTAAGTGTTATGCATTTGATTGGCAATAGGGGGTAGGCCCAGATAAGCTGTTTCAGCTTCTGCCAACTCCCTTTTGGTCTATTTTCTTTCTGTAGTTTTTTTTTTTTTTTTTTCACATTATTATTATTTTTGTCTTCTAAATGCCCAAATAAACACACTTTCGCCACTGTTGTGGGCGACAGTAGCTCAGTTGGTAGAGCATTGGCCTTTGAGCCAGAGGGTCGTGGGTTCGAGCCCGACCTTCAACATCGACTCCCTGCTGTCGTTGTGTCCTTGGCAAGACACTTAACCTCTGGGAACACCAGCCACAGTGGGGCGGCTGCGGCTGTAAAGTGCCAAACTGCCGTTGTGTCCTTAGGCAAGACACTTCACCCCCATTGCCTAGAATGAGCCTGGTGTGTGTGAATGGTTGGTGGTGGTCGGAGGGGCCGATGGCGCATACTGGTTGCCTCGCTTCTGTCAGTGTGCCCCAGGGCAGCTGTGGCTACAGTAGTAGTTTATCACTACCGTGTATGGAGTGAATGAATAATTATATGTGAAGCGTCTTTGAAAGCGCTATATAAAACCGATGCATTATTATTATTATTATTATTACTTGACACTAAATTCCACAAGTCTTGTGTTGAACTTTGTAAAAAGGAGCGATCCGAGCGAGGAGCAGCGAGAGAATGCGACTCTCGCTTATGCGCTGTTAACGCCTAAATTCCCTGTTAAATGTTTTGCTCATGCGTTGTCCTTCTATTCCATTGCAATGCTTAAACACGTCAACTTGGTTGCTATTAGTTATTGTTAATTTCTGATATTGTTCCTTAGGAGATAAGATTTCATAAGGACCAAAATGAACATCCCTAAGTTGACATCACGTCCCGTTGAGCTAGAAGCCTTGAAAGTATTATGTTTGCTAAAGTGTGAAAGTGAGTTCCTAATTGTATTTCATGTGTTTGGATTTAGAAAATGGAGGCAAAGAGATGTCAGTGTAGAATGACAGGGCCTCAAGAGAGTCGAAGCAATTATCACACCAAGGGCCAGGGAGAGAGAACAGGTCAAACACTGGAGTTCATGAAAGATGCAATTATACAAGACACGAAACCGCCAACTGAGAGCGCCTGTCCTAAATGCAATCTGGTATTTTACAAAGATCTTTGTTCCCACTCAGTCAAGATGCTCTGTTGTGTCTATTGATACAACGAAACACCTAAAGCGCTGTAGGTAAATTAGTTTATTGGTTAATTGGATAGTTACAGATTCATCTGTTAATGTGATGAGCATAATTATTAGTGCTTTCAGTTAAACGTGTTAATAATATTTGTTATTGTGCATTTAACGCAAGCACAGAAGTGGGGCATCGGTTTCTGTCCCCGTAAAGTCTACGTAGAAGTGTGGAGGACATTACAGGCTAGAAGACCCCTATACAATAGCAAATGTCAACTCTTAATGAATATATGTTTGTCCTCCAGGGTTTCTGTGTCAGACGTGAGAATTGAAATAAAAAAGGTGTCCAGAATCCCTCTTAAACCAGTGCCTCCTTCTAATGTTTAATACAAGTGTTCTGGTTACGTGGAGCTGATCCAGGGATAAAGATCATTAGCACAAGTATGTTTCATATGTATTTTTACTAACATCTCAAATCATCCCTGCGCTACCCCAAAAGCCATCAAACTGGTCTGAATGAAAACCAAAACACATCATATCCGGAAGAGATTAGATGAGTCCTCCTTCAAATGGATTATTAGGCCGGACAGGGCTACTGTTCTAATGACATTTATGTCATTCTTCTCCTGAAAAGACAACACATTAACAAAAATCTAAATATGATGATTTGAATTTAAGTCACTTACCTGTTCATAAACTGTCAGAAGTTGTTCCATCTTTTCCCCCCAGGGACCTGATCTCTTCTTTTTGTAAAGCTCAATGAGTTTTGGTGCGTATTTATCAAGCGAGCCATAGAAGAGATGGGGCAGGTTTTCATTAGTTATCCAAAGAAACTCGCTGTAGAGCTGGGGGGAGGGAGCATGAGGTGTCAAAAATTTAGAGCACAAATAAAAAAAAAGTTTTCCAGTAAATGTGATTTTTTTGCCTCTGTTAAAGATTTACCTTTTAACATGTTTCGTCGGTCTACTGTAAGCCATCTTAAGTACCGTCACTAATCAGATGATCGTAATTTGTCCAGTGATGCAAAATTACAGAGGGGCATTGTTCTCACAAAATAACGTAATTATGACTTTTTTTAATCCCTTAGCCCCTGGCTCTAAAGAGGGTGAAATGTGCTTGTGAACGAGTCATGATTCTCTAAGGAATTTTGAGATGATCATGCCGTGGCGCTGCAGCCAATCAGTGAGGGAGACTGCTCAGGCCGGAGGGGGGAGAGAAGCGGGAACCGGCTGCCGACACTTCCGCCGCGGGACAGGGCGGTATTTTAATAAACTCACGCGGCAGATTTTTAAGAAACAGGCGGTCAAACTGCCGTTACCGCGCAGGAAGGAGGTGGTGGCCTGAACGGGGCTTTATAGCCAGGTGGATGTCTCCCGTAATGCTCTTACACCACGGCCCCATATAGCTGGGGTATGATGTCCCAGCTATACACTCTCCTGCAGCATAGAATGTGGCCTACAGCGGCGCTGAAGTCCGTACCATGGAGCTGTGGGCTCAAACAACCTGAGTCTCTGCTGAAGTTCATCAAATCCATAGCGGCTGCGCTTTGATCAAAGCAACAATGCGGAACATTCAACTGTGCCGCTCTCGTGGGGGTTAGAGCATGTTCCCAGGAGAGCCACATCCACCCCGGCTATAGGATGTGCGGAGCCGCGGTGCGGGAGAGCATACGGCTCCAAGGAGCTCCGAGAGTCTGCTCAAGAGCCGGTTCCAGCGTAAAGAACACCTGTGAACCCCACGAGAGCAGCACAGTTGCATGTCCCGCATTATTGCTTTGGATTTGATGAACTTCAGGGAGACATCCACCCGGCTATAGGAGTGCGAGTCACGGCCACATCTCAAAATCCCTTACAGAATCAAGACATGTTCACAAGCACGTTTCACTTCTTGTAGCCAGGGGCTAAGGGGTTAAAAAAAGTGTCATAATTACGAGAATTATTAATTTATTTTTGTGAGAACAATGCCCTCTCTGTACCAATAGACTCAACAGGTTGCCCAAACTGAATATGCTTTCTGAAGTGAGTGTAGAACAAGAGAAATGTCTCCCTAGTCACAAATCCACATGCCAGTTTGTGTCCAAGCAGTGATTGAGATTTTACATTTGTTTGTGAAAAATTGTCAATCCCACCATCGAAACACGTTTACCCTGAGAACGTGCAAATTAGCGGGGGCGGGGCTTAGCATGAAAAAGGCCTATGACGGTCATTCTAAAGAGGCAAAAAAGTAAACAGCAGTAAAGTCACTTACCTGTGATTCATGAAATAGTCCAGGCCATCTTTCCTTCAGCGCAGTCACAGGAGGAGAGGTTGCAACGATCTCTTCGCGGCGCAGAGCAAAGGTGCGCTTCATGTGTTCTTTAATTTGTACCATGTTTCTCTCAACAGCTGCCATTTTAACTACTCTACCATTGCAACTCTTCGGATTTCCAGGGACTCCTTTGTTTCTCCCCATGGATAACATGGAAGGAAGTTCACTTCTCCTCTCCTCGCTCTTTTTATGTTGGCCCTGGAAGGTTGGCCCTGGAAATTGAGGGATGGCTTCTTGTCGCTAGTCTACACAGGAACCCAATTTCTATTCAGAGGGACAGAAAAAATAAGTTGAAGTGACAAAGTCAAAGTCAGTGAAAACATACAAAAAAAAAATTCACAGAATTATTGCAAAACAAAATTTAAATAGTACAATTTGGTAACTATTTACTGTGTGGGTTCAAGGTTATATATGCAGTAAATACGCTCTCAAAATACATATTTTCTAATCTGAATTTCATATTCAGACATTTACTCCCAGGTGTCTCTCAAATACAATGAACCGAGGTGTTGACGGTCCTTTTCTCCTAGCATAGCACCACGTGATTGAACAAGTAAGTAAGTAAGTATTTATTTATATACCGCCTTTTCACTGCAGATCTGAGTCTCAAAGCGGTTTACAATTGTTAATTTTTTTTGGGCATTTGTCTCTCACTCCACACAGAGATGGGAGCGACGTCGCCAGTACAGGAGGCGCATGCTAGAACTATTGGACATATTTTTAGTGGTAGGGGAAACCGGAGTACCCGGAGGAAACCTACGCAGACACGGGGAGAACATGCAAACTCCACTCAGAAAGGCCCTGGTCCGACCGGGATTCGAACCCAGGACCTTCTTGCTGAGAGGCGAGAGTGCTATCCACTCAGCCACCGTGCCGCCCAAAATTAAGCTAACATCATGCTAACGCCATGCTTTCAAAATGGAGCAATCCCCGATAGCACGAGCATAATCAAAAATACTGTTCAAGCATGATACGTAAACGTGAATTTCAACTGTAATAAAACAGCAACCAACATACGTCGAACCACGACTTTTCGCACTTACATGCCTATGTAAGTGCTCGCTCCTTTACATATCCTAGCATGACGCAATGTGACTTAGCAAAATTAAGCTAATGCTAACATTAAGGTAATGGACGCCAGCCCCTAGACCACAAGCAACCATGCGAGCAACATCGAACATGTAGTTGAAACCTCAAGCAAACGTGAATAAAAATGAGAAAACTACGCGCACTAACCATGACTTTACAGATACGAATGTACGTAGCTCTATTTGCTATTGCAGTACAGGGCCATGTGACAGAGCTAACTCTTTAGCCTAACTTTGCTCTATCAGATATGGCAAAGCATGTTCTTAGCAGAATTATAGAAACTACAGAGTATACATATAAAGCACACGTTAAATCACCCAATGTATGTCTGTCGTTGCTCCTTTAAACTTAATAGAAAGGCGCCATTCGGCAAGAAAAAACTATAGTAGCACTAGCTAGCGATATCAATATGGCGCAAACCCGGTCCAAGTCATAAGCAGGGATGGAACGGTGCCTATCTAAGCATATTAGGCAAAACTCAAATCCGTTCACTAAACTTGACTTTACACGGGTTCTATGGCATATTACAATCTATCAAAGTTATGTAAAGTGGTGCTAATTACCGAGTGAAGTCGTCCGGACACGACGTGCGCTCTCATTCCTCTGAAGACCGAACGACGAGGTTAAGACCGTGTGCAAAAGAAAAGTCAAGAGGGGCGTTCACACTCACCTGCGCATGCGTAGTCAGAGAAAGCAAATACATATTTTGATATTTGACATATTGATTATTGTTTCATTTGAATCAATAAAATGTATGCAATCAACCACTTAAATAATTAAATAGTACTACCAACTCTGTATCTGACAAAGTTTTTATATATAAAGAAATGATTGCGTTGCAACTGTTAACTTAGCTCAGCGTGATGAGCTCAGCTTCACCGTTTTGGCGGCTGGGGTTCGATTCCCCCATAGACCATCAATAAGATAACATTTTAGAAATTGCCGAATCTAAGGAGGAAAATAAACGTAAAACGTTTAAAAACATTTAATTCTTATGTATCTCATAATTATTGCATTTCTGTGCCCATTATATTTTTGAAATAAGATTGCAACATGTTTTGTACTTGATAAAAAATACATAAAAATAAAACCTTTTTGCAAGTGTGTATAACAAAAATATTAACAACAATGTTGCATACATTTCAATACATATTGGATAAAACTCAATAAAAATGAGTTAATGCATCATATATTTAGTTTTGGGCTTTTGTAACTCAGTTGGTTTGGTTATATTGACCTTTCAGCAGAACTGAGTTAGAGTAACTCACTTTATTTAGTAAGATGTACTGTTGGGTTTTACAGTGTACATTTTACTTCAGAGCTGTAAATAAAAGGGCTTTATTGACCAGGCACCAGACGTGGTTTTAGAATTAGCTTGACCGCGGTGACCCTGATAAGAATAACAGTGTTGTTATAGCAGCAGTAACTATTCATAATGAAAAAATAAACAAGTTTAGTGCTGTAGCTTTTAGCATGTTTTTGTGCATCTAATTGTCTTTTCAGGACATTTTATTTGCCACTTTTGTATATTTTGTATATCCTGTTGAAACACATGTACAGAATGCCATAATGCTGAAATAATTTGGTTTACAGATAATTAGAGCTGCAACTATATGTGTGTGTGTGTGTGTGTGTGTGTGTTTATAAATATATTTATATATATGTGTGTATACTGTATGGTGCAGATGTGAATCCCCTAGATTCATCTACGTCAGATCTAATATAGGTCTGAGCAGTTTGACTGACAACACAGTGACAGTAAGCAACAAGCAGACATTCTTCTTTACCTTTTTTAAAAACTATCTTTTTCACACTAGCTGTGTGAAGGAGAGGTTCCGCAGGGCTTTCCTTCCTGCTGCTGTCAGACTGTACAGCAAACAATAAGGGCTAATGAACACTGCCAACCTGATCCCATGTCTCATCAGAATGTGCAATAACCACATGTCACTGTCACTTTACTCAGTCACTGTGTCCCAGAGCCTCATGCTGCTGTTGTACAGATGTAAACATACTGCTGCTAATGTACAGATGTAAACATACTGCTGCTAATGTACAGATGTAAACATACTGCTGCTAATGTACAGATGTAAACATACTCCTGCTACTGTTCAGATGTAAACATACTGCTGCTAATGTTCAGATGTAAACATACTGCTGCTAATGTTCAGATGTAAACATACTGCTGCTAATGTTCAGATGTAAACATACTGCTGCTAATGTTCAGATGTAAACATACTGCTGCTAGTGTTCAGATGTAAACATACTGCTGCTAATGTTCAGATGTAAACATACTGCTGCTAATGTTCAGATGTAAACATACTGCTGCTAATGTTCAGATGTAAACATACTGCTGCTAATGTTCAGATGTAAACATACTGCTGCTAATGTTCAGATGTAAACATACTGCTGCTAGTGTTCAGATGTAAACATACTGCTGCTAATGTACAGATGTAAACATACTCCTGCTACTGTTCAGATGTAAACATACTGCTGCTAATGTTCAGATGTAAACATACTGCTGCTAATGTTCAGATGTAAACATACTGCTGCTAATGTTCGGATGTAAACATACTGCTGCTAATGTACAGATATAAACATACTGCTGCTAGTGTTCAGATGTAAACATACTGCTGCTAATGTTCAGATGTAAACATACTGCTGCTAATGTACAGATGTAAACATACTGCTGCTAATGTTCGGATGTAAACATACTGCTGCTAATGTACAGATGTAAACATACAGCTATTCACTTATCTCGTGCTCCTGTGATGCAACACTGATATTTCCCCGCTGTGAGATGAATAAAGTATCTCTTAATCTTAATATTGCCACAGGCCTAGGAAAACCCAAATAATAACTGAAATACATACACATACTGTACGACTCAAAATACAAATGCAAACTCATAGAAATCTTAATTCAAGGTTGTTTAGTGAAGTGACAGTTCGCCTGCAGCTCTGTGAGGTTCCACTGTGATAACTTAAGGTTGTTTGCCATTCCAGATACATTTAGTGACAGCACTGTGGCGCCTGTCCTCGTACCCAAGACTGTGGTGGATGTTGGATGTTAACACTGAGAACTGATAATTATTATTAATTATAAGTTCTCAATAGTTATTGTACATTCATATCTGCTCTTACCTTGTACAGCACTTTGTGATTTTTATCTGTGAAAGGTGCTCTATAAATAAATTTTACTTACTTACTTACTTATAATGCAGGGTAACAACAAAATAGTTTTGACAACTTTGAACAAAAATAAATGGATAGGATGTGGTCTCAAGGTCAGCTAAAGTTTCTAGATAACAGATCTAGATGCAGAGTCTTAATTTGATCTGGACTCATGCGTGACACCCCTAATTGGGACATCTCTAAAAATGTCGACTGGTAAGGAGCAAATTAATTTTAATCCTGTCTAATCTTGCCGGATATGTCACCATAATCATCAAATCATCTAAAGCAAATTAGGAATTGACTGATAATCTCACATACAAAAGAACATCATCTGCATATATTTTGAATGCATTCTTGTTCTTTCAATGTAGGCTCCTCATCTCAATTTCCAACTATTTGTACGTTGTGTGGCTAATCTCTGAGGACACAAGAGGCACGCTGTGAGTCCTTGTTGTTGCTGTGTGTTTTATATTGTAAATGGCAATGTCAAATTGTGTCTCGAACTGCGATAACTATATATTGCCTTATTTTTGCATACATTTATTTTTCTTCTTTTGGATTTAAGTTTAAATTCTCTCTGTCAGGTGTTAATAAGTTCATCCATAAGTTTATTTAATTTGTGGTAAAACCGCCAAAGCGAGACCTCTACCTGTAACGATTTTTGGTTGTAGCTTAGTGGAGTTTTGTGTTTTCCATAGACAATCTTTGTCTTTGTTTTGATATCTCTGAGTCTCCATCTGTAATGTTGTCTGTGGTTGGTTAAAGTAAAAATGTGAAAAAAAACAATAATTTCACTTCATG